AACGCACTCTATAAGTATGTCCCACTTTCAAATATACAGCCTGTATATAGATAATAATATATGATAGGTTTGTTTGTTATATATTTATTACATTTATGTTATTATTAAATTAACAATTTAATATTTTGTTTACTTTGCCGCATTCGTGAATTTCGTATTCCTCAAAGGTTGCCTGGTAGAGAATGCTTTTAGCATTAAGTCCGCCTTTTGTACCATTGCGTGTTGTGGTCAATAAAGTTTAAAAAATAATATCGAGGTACAATAAACGACGAGTGAGCAGTCAATACGTTTTCTGAATACTTACACTAGGTTCATTCATATCGTTCCAAAAGTGGACGTCCTTGCTGGTACCGGGGAAGTTCTCGAACCGATAACGCTCGGAGTAATATTTGGAAACCACGGGGTTAAAATAGTCCAAGTACGACGACGCCCCGGGCCAGCACCAACCTGAACATAAGTAACACATTAGCAGCACATACGTATCATTAGCAGTTTAATATTTTTTTTGTAAAATTACTCCTCTAGTTTGTTATAAGATCGAACACTTAGAAAAAATTCCTTCAATCCGATTCAATGGCAAAAAAGTCGTTAAAAAAACAAAGATGTGCAACAAGCACATAGAAAAAATCGTAAGGTCCGCTGGTTCGTTCCGTGGCTTAGTTGGCGTAGCGTCTAGCTCGGTCTGCTAGGAGATCCTGGTTCGAATCCAGCCGGATTGAAGGATTATTTTCTAAGTGTTCGGTCTTTGCCTTAATAATTAGTTTTTGGATGTTAAGATTTTGGGTGGGGTGCAAAGAAGGTGGCTTGTCGGGCTGTTTTAAATAATAAAAAGAAGAATAAAACGGATTCCAAGTACTAAGTGTGTTTTCCAGCACTTTTCCCCTGAGTTCCAGTAGCGTTACTTCAGACCAGGTTATACATGTCTTGTAAGAAGCTGTATAATTTATATTATGTCCCACTTACCTTCGTAATCATTGCCGTCCTTATTTTTAACGTAGTATCCGTTTTCAGTAGCGTCTTCATGCACGAAGTATCCCGCCTCCCTCTTGATGTGAGGGTCTATGATCACTACCAGTTTGCGCCCTTTCGCTGTTAAGTTGGCAACCATGTCCTGAGGAGTCGCGAATTTGATTGGATCCCAGGTGAAGTACCTGTAGTAATTATAAAAAAAAAGTTATACACGTTGATAAAAGCGTCGTTTGGTTCCAGAGTATATCAATTTATTTATATAGTAGAGTATATCAATTTATTTATTTGTGGAAATATAATAGTACATTGTGTATTTCATCACATTTGCGAGGAAATAAATACAATGATAAAGACAGGAAAAGTAAATGCAAATGGCGGTTTCTTTAAAATATATAACCAGATGGTCAGCTATCTTCCGTAGATACAACTAGAACTAAAATGTTGTAAGGCAAAAACGCATACAGCCAGGACGTATTAAATATAAAATAATTAATTTCAAAATTCTAAAAATACTGCAGAATTTGAATATGTAAAATTAATTTTGCAAAATACAGTGTGTTGATTAGCATTCTCGCCATATTTAAGAAATTAAATACAGAAATAACGCTAAATCCATTACGAAATAATTACCACGTACTAAACCACGTGGCATCGTGCGAGAGTAGCTAATAGATTACGAGAATTGCGGCGAGTTCGGCAATTAACCCACCTTGTCCTTATGCGTAAGCGAGCGCACTATAGGCAGGCGCGTACTAAGTATTTGAGAAAGAAGAAAGAGATAGCAATACTTTCTCGGTTCGTACGGCTGCGCTATGCCTATAAGTTTAGCACGTGCCGTGCAAGTCAATGACCTTTGGACCAAGCAGGATCAGGTGATTGCGAATCGATGTTTACCACAATTAAATAAAAAAATAAGAATTTAGGCTTTTTTTTCCGATTTATATTTTTAGTGATTTGGGTTCAGTTTCGGATATTGAATGACCTTAGTAAATATGGCGAGAATGGAAATTAACACAGTGTATAATTATGTTCTTTTTTCTATATTTCGTATGCGAAATACATTCGGATTTTTCGAGCATAAAAACTTTTAGCTTAATCTTGAAGTATAACAGAAGTACAGTGCAATTTCAATTTAAAAATCCTATGTCGGTGTAATGAAAAAGCCCGTGGGTGTAATTTAAGGCATTACGGCCGACTTTCCCTGCATGTCATAACACTGTTTACGGACAAGTGTGATAAAAAATAAAAAGGTTTAAAAGGCTCCCCTGTAAACTTGGCAATTTCGACATACGATACTTTACATAGGAGGGGTCGATTTGTTCTCACTCACTTCTTGCCATCAGTGTACTCAATATCTAGCCAAATCACGTCAAGGGGAATGTCGTGAGTGTCGAAACCTTCATCTACACTGCGTACGTCTGCCTGGTCAACGTAGTTCCAGCGAGATTGGTGGTAGGCTAAGGAGAATTTCTGAAACCAAATTAGGTTAGTTAGTAACTAAAAAAATGTAATCCGACGTATTGCCAAGTTCAGTTTCCTAGTGATAAAATGTTATATTCGATTTTTAATCAAAGCCATTAACAAAGTTAAATTTCGTGAATAGTAAACTATTTTTTCGGATATAATTTTTTTGCCAAGCCTAATGGTAATCTACACGCCTGTCCATAACAGTGCCACTCAAGAGCTTTAAATCGCAATGCCACCCTGAGACATAAGTTGACAAGTCCCATGTGCCTGTAATTTCACCAGTACCCTTCCTTACCCTTCAAAACCGGTAATGCTGACATTACTGGTTGGCGGCAGAAATATGTAAGGTGGCAATACTTCCCTGGACGAACTCTTTTACAAGGAGCACTGTTGCTACAAATCAAACAAACCAACGTCTCGGAACTTTTACACATCCCTGGTGGAAAGTGACGATAAGTCTCACTATAACCTTGAAAAGGCCCGAGTTATAGCGTTCAGGGAGTTTATTTTCTTAGAGTTCTTAAAAAGTAAGAGCAGAAATCTAACCGGTGGCAAAGGAGCTACTCCAGTGAGCGTGATGTACTGTCTGAAGACATCCGCGGGTTTGTCTCCGAGGAATACGAAAAGGTCCACTACCCCAGACTCGCTCATGAATCTGAAATGTGACAATAAAAAAATACAAGTTAAATTTGTCAATTATTTGTTCGCACTTACTTAACATTAAAAGTATATATTTTAATGCATACAATAATAACACGTATTTTATGCAATTACATTTAAATTTAACTGCCTCTGTGGCCGAATAGTTACCATGCCGGACTGCCACGCAGAGGTCCCAAGAACGATTCCCGGGCCGGGAGAAATATTTGTATGGCCTACATTTATTTCTCTCGTGAGTTTGGGGGTAATTTGTGATTGGCTATGTGTGTGGCCATTGCACTCGCGACACAGGGTTTCCCTTGTGCAGGGCTATGGTGAGTGTGTGCTTTATTATTATTATTATTGTAATGGCTGTCACACAAATTACTTGCGCACAAATTAGGTAATTCCCTATACAATAAATACCATCGTAGAGCAGCCAAATTAACTCCCAGAATGTTCTGGGTGTCCAGAGCAGAACCAATTTGGAAAAGTTAGTTTCCAAATTGGGCCGACCGAGAGTTGAACCCGGTACCTCCTCATCCAGCGCCCACAGTGCAGCAATTGGAACACCGAGGCCGTCAAAAGTGCCATTTGATCGCAAATATTCACTCAAATTAAATTTAATTCAAATATTAGTTCACCAAGACAACATAGTAATTTGCCCATAGATAAATTAAATTACAAGAGATGCGAATTTAAATAATCTCAGTACAGAATACTAAAAAACCAACCTCAAAAGTTCGTGTTGTCGTTCGAAAATATTATATCTATTTGCCACCTTTTATTGAAACCGGTTACAGAAAGGTTTTATTATTTCAGGAAACCGGATTTATCGCCTAGAGGTGGAATATTTTCTTCAAATTTAAATGGGACCAACACTGAAGTACCCTCTTTTCAACAAAAAAATATTCATCAAAATAGGTTCACAAATTTAGATAGCCGAAGTTAGCGTGTAACATACATAAAAAAAATACAGTCGAAATGAGAATCTCCTCCTTTTTTAAAGTCGGTTAATTTATACAGATAAACATATTATTGACTCC